CGCCGCCGGGGTAGGGCCTGGGGGGCGGCCTGGTCTGCGCGGGCGACCCCGGTGCCCCGGGGCATCGAAGGGACGTCTGTGAGGCGCGGGGCTTGTTCCCCGCTCCAGCCTCTGAGCGGGAAACCCTCCATCTCACAGGACACCGGAGGGTAGCCGGGCAGCCTCCGCTCCCAGGTGCTTTTCGGACAAGGAGCAGGAGGGAAGCGGGAACACAGTTAAATACTTGCAGCAAAGGAAGAAGCCACACTGGATGAGGGCAGTAGCTAGAGAACAATTATCACGGCTAAGTGAAGGCCGGTCCTGACAGTTACTGGGTGAGTTACAAACAAAACTATACTAAATTAAATAAACACTGCGTCAGTGGATCTGTTTTCACTGCTGTGGTAGGTGTTGCTGTGTTAGCAGAGCCGGCGCTTTTACACCTGCCTGGAAGATCAGCTCACAGAGCACCAATCAGAGCCTTCACAGGTGCCTCGGATGTAGGAGGAGGTCAGATGTTCCACCACAACAAATAGATTTGGAATGACAGAAGCACCATTTTATTAAAAAGGTCAGAAGTCGTGAGATAGCTGATACACATAGGGGCACGTTATTACAACAACCCGGCTGAGTTCACAGCTTGCTAATCAGAGGTTGGCCTAGATTCTGTATCATAGAACAGTTCAGCTGCTTAATGGTGCTTATCCTCATGTTTTTGCTGCTGGCATATTTCATCTTGATGGCCTGCAGAAAGAAGGTTAAGTGGATCCTGTTCATAAACTTAACACTAGGTGGCCTGAGGCCTGGTCAAGCCAAGCCGGTCCTCCTGCAAAGATCAGTTCATTGCTGGCTCATGCTACTTCAGCAAGACAAGGGATCTTCAGCTGAACAGGTCTGACCCAAGCCTGACACCAGTGGCTCAACTAAGCGAGCTTCAGAGTACCTGGTACTGGCACTTAACCACACATGTACCCCATCTGTACAGCAGGGTTCTTACCATCTCCTTGACTTTGCCTTCATTCACAAGAATGACGTTCTTCGCTATGTGCTGCATGACTGGGAGAAGGTCACTCTCGGTGTAAGACGTGCAGTGCTGCAGAACTGGTGTCTGAAAGGATGGGAGGTCGTTAGACAAGCCCAGCAGAACAATCCAAATACACTGGGTTCTTTGTCTTCTGCTGGGCTTGGGCAACTGCTGTCTCCTGTCTTACAGGAGAAGATTTAACAGTTACTGCCCTACTGCTGTCCCCTTGTAGTTCACCATGGGGAGACAAGCACAGACCGAGATGCCACAAGGGAAGCTGTAGGCATCCCCTTGGCTCAGAACTGGTGCACAGGCACACTGAGACCCAAACTAGGAGGTGATCTGAAAAACATTACTTACCCACTTGCATCCATTGAGGAGTTTCAGAGCCAAACAGAAAGCAGCAGCTGCAGTCTTGGATGGAGGGAAATGCACCATATCATAGTCTACAATGGACAACTCCATCAGGTAGTTGGCCAGAATGTGCTGTTTGAAGTTCACCTGCAGCAAGTCAGAGTTGAGTATTGGCTATTTCCAACGCAAGAGCATCCTGTCAAGCCGTTGTTTAGTGCGGCAGGAAGAAACACTTCTGTAGTGAGCATTTTCAGAGCCACAGGCTTGAAATTCAAATGGGTTAACTGTAGAGCAGTTCTGAGCTGCACTAGGCTAATTATAGTCTAGGACTGCTCCTCTTGATGGCAGTCTAGAAGCTGCCTGCAGTACCAGGCAGGCATTTTAGCTGTTTTGAGGTGGGCTAGGCTCACCTGACTGAAAACAAATGAACAAGAGCCATTTCTACGTAGGAGCCAGGTCTCAGCCAGGCTCGGCTGGTGAACTGTTGCAGTACCGAAAACTTTTGAACCATTTTAATCTGCCACAGTAGAGTATTGCATTTTCCCTATGATGCTTACTGGTTACAGTTATCTGTTCTCAGCATTACCTTTGCAATCTTTGAAGCCCTCCTTAGGAAGTGTGGAGGGAGTGGGCAACCCAAACCAAAGTCCAGGGCTCGCAAGATCTTTGTCTCCATCTGGCAGATTTGGAGCTTTGTGTAAGTGTTATCAGTTACATAGGCAAAGTCTCTAGTACAGGGGGGAAGCACCTCTTCATATTTGCTGGCAACAAACATAGCTGTGACAGCAACCAGCTGCAACATATTTTTGGGAACAGAATTGTCCTGTAGTAAGAAGCAGAAGATATTTATGTGAGTGACTGGGCTCAGAACACAGCTTTCCAAAGTAGAATAAAACTTACATTTGCTTTGGCAGGATGTTTATATTGACACGTACAGAATAACTGTACATCATCCATTACCTCTGTTGGCACCTGCAGGGGTATTAAAAGGCTTTGAGATCAAATCAGGGAGAGAAGTAAGCAGGTTTGATGTTATCAAGTCACTGCTTTTACCTGAGAGGGTTATGTGGTACATGCAATTCAACAGCAAATGCCCTTTGTTGGTCAGCTGCCCTTTTTTTAAGGGTAACATGTCTTACTATGTATGGTGTTCCTGATAAGTGCTTGTTGTGCTTTAGCTTAGGGGAAAAGCTTTGCCTGACAGTGGGCAAAATACACATACCTGCAGGTAGCGATCAAGGATGGCAACTGCCATGTACAGGGTCTCCTCCTGGAGTCTGAATTTCAGATGCACTTGCACAAGCCAGTCTACTGTCATAGCACGCATGTTCTCATCAATTTCCTGGCTGGTCAGATATTTGGGTCTGACAGACTGATTTTCCTGTGTGGAAGGAATAGCACTAATAGATTCAGTCACTTACCTGAAGCATTTGCAATAGTTAAGATGCTCTGTTGCATCTCAAGGCTTATTGAGGAGTTCAGTACAAGCACAGCTCACAGGTGCAGGCCACAGGGTTTACCACAGATGGGCTAAGAAGACCATGGTACTAGTACTGCTAGTTGATTGGTCTAACAACCAGCACCTGTTTACATTATTTGCTCGGTTTAATTTTGCATTTGAAGTTGAGGGATCACTTATAAGTGCCTCAGGAAAATCTGTAGGTGAAAGTGAATACCAGCTCCAAGCGATGCCTGTGATGAATAACAGGTTGTCTCTTAAGTGTTGGTAGATAAACCTCACAGTTTTGACCTACTCTCACCAACCTCAAGGTGTCTCAGATATTTGTAGATGTCCTTCACATAGTCACTGTAGAGGTTTGGGTCAGCAACATCTTCCACATCCATGTCTTCCCCATCTGTCTTTTCCACATCAAGCAAGACACGAGAAAAAGCCTGACACAGCTCTGACTGGGACCACCCAGAAAACTCCGTGGAGTTTGAAGACTGAGGCTCCAACTACAAGGAAATGTGGGATCAGCATGGGTAGCACCTCCCGTTGCAGCCCAGCGTGAGCCCAGCGAAGGCTCCCGCAGGGCGCCCTGGGGGGAACCACGGCCCCTCCCTCCCAGGGCACCGAGGAAGGCCGTGCATCCCCCCAGCCCAGGGCTCAGGCACAGGGCGCCAGGGAAGCCGCGGGCGGGCGGTACCTGGGAGGTCTCCGGCTCAGG